GCTTAGCATACTTGTTCAAAGCAAGGCATGCTTTGTCTTCCTCTAATCCATTCGGGGATATTTTTTGGAAATGACATGCATGTTTTCACGCGGAGACCCCCACTCCAAAGTTAAAGGGGAGGGCGATGAATTTCAAAAGGTATCTGCAGTTTCAGTTTGTTCGTGGGTTGGAAAGTGAGCAATATGTTGCAGTTTGCACAGAAATGAAAACCGCACCAGCAGGTCAGTGAGCGCTGATCAACTTTCCCCGGCCTGTGGGCCCGCCAGAAACTTATTTTCTACTTCAAAACTGGGCTCAGGGTCTGGCAAAAGTCTCGAGACGGAAAAGCAGGATGCAGGCCGAACGATAAACACATATAAATCGGCCCGTCAAGAGAGCCAGTTCTCTGCTGAGTCTCCTGTGTGAAGCTTGCCTGGTTTCCTGGAATTGCACCCGGCTGATTCTGCCCATTCCTGAGTCACTGTAGCTTTGGAGAGAACTGGACGGAAACACCACCCCTATCTGTTCCCATTCCTGTACTTCGCACTCGCTCCCCACCTTGCTTGTTCTTGCTTGGGGGTCTTTTCTCCTCACACATCTGCAAACTGGAGTTTTTTTAAAAATGCTTTTTTACTCTAAGGCTTTGTCCCGTGAGCATTCCAGAGCGCCATACTGTTCTTTTCTTCTAAATCCTCTTTCACTTGAGGTCACACATCATTATACCTGTTATCCTGGCTTCAAATCCACTAGTAGCTCTAAACCACGATGCTGTGTTGCATCCAAACCCGCTCTTTGGTTTTTCAGCCACAAACGTCTACCCTCTCTTTGGGGCCCCTCCCTTTATTTCATCTTGAACCGTCGGTTGTAGCAATCTGTACTTCTAGTCCTCATGGTGTAGCCAAAGCAGCTGAGCCTTCTGCATTATGATTTCTTGGTCTTTAGTCATTTGCCTTAGTCTTTGTTTGTGAGTCCAGCTGGCCTGCGTAAGCAAAGTGGCGTATGAATTGGCGCTAATTAATGATATGTCGGTTGTGTTCCTCGTCGTCTGCCCAGGGACTCAGCCAGCACCTCATGAATTAGCAGCAATGTGGATGATCTCAGGAATATCAGGATTCTGCCCGATGGCCCTGAAATGCATCATCCAGGAATTTTTCTTTGTCTCATCCCACCCACAACAACAACAAAAAAAATAGCCTCACGTGGAGGAAAACATCTCACGCCTTAACTACTTTTGATTGAATTATACGCTGGCCAATTTAATGATATTCTGTCCAGCCCTTAATGTCTCGCTGGTTTGTCTCACCCTTCGTTCCAGTCATTTTTCTTGGACTCCACGGAAAGGAACCAAAAACCTGCCCAAACACAATGAGAAGGCTGGGTTCTATTATGGGATGCTAACGACAGGCTTCCCGGATTGTTAAATGAGAACTTGTTCGTGACATTAGAAAGAACAAGGGACTAGTCCTCAGCAACCTCTTCTGCAATAACGATGGCCATCGTTTAGCGGGGGATTCTGGGACTTGTGACCCCAAATCCATCCTCTTCCAGGCTCTGGACCGAAGTCCCTCGCATCGTGGTTTTCAACATCTGATCCCCTTCCTGTTTTAGTTTCTTTTACATTCACAGAGGTGCTGTGGCTTCCTTAGTTAGCCTTGTATCCTTCCAAGGTTCGGTTGTTGGGTTTTTAAGCCCTGAAAAAGTAACCTTTGTTTTTAAACCAGGAGAAAGTATTTTTTGTTTTAGGGACAAAGGCCCTTTTGCATCACAACACCGCTGCATGTTTATTGTTTAGCCCCACTTTTCTTGAAACTTGTAAGAGGAATACAACTTTATAGTCAAAGCATGGTTAATAACCCACCTCCCATCCGCCTGCCTCCTGGGCAGTCATGCAACTGGTGATGTTATGTTCCTCTTGAGATGCTTCATATAGGATTCAGTGTCTTTAGTCCCAGAGATTCAAGAGTGTGACGACAGTGTGAACTCCAGCAGTGGTGATATTTGTTATGTCTGCAGCGGCTTAATCCCAGCGGAGGGAGAGAATGCTTGAGGCTGTATCGCTTTAAAAAAAAAATACATATAGATAGATAGAGATATATATGGGCAGGAAAAACACATTCCTAGCCTGATCGCTGAGGTGCCTGCGGTTTTCTCTCCAGTCAGGAACCAGCCCAAAGGAAAAGCGAAAGGTGGCTGAGGCTGGGACCGCATCTTCCATCATCCCCCTCCCTCGTGGCCAGTGGGAATCGTAGTCCAGAGTGGCCACTTTCCAAAGCTGATTTCGTAGGGAGGCTTGTCAAGAGACACAGGGTTGGGAAATAGGACAGGCATCTTGTCAGTTTCTCAGGCTGGGTGGGGGATTCTGGGCGTTGTAGTCCAAGAAAAGTAACATGGCTATACGGATGGATGGTTTGATCTGCCTTGCCTCGCTCTGCTCCGTGCAAGCAAGTTGTGTCCTTTGGGTGGAGGATGATGGCAGTAGTGATGATGACATGAATCCTTAGCCCAATGCAGCACACATCCTTTTATTCCCTGGTTTTATCTACACAACAGCCCTGTCAGGTAGAGCAGATGGAGAGAATGAGATTGGCTTGAAATCACCGTGTTATCTTTGAGGCCTGGGAGGATTTGAACCCAGGCCTCTCCAGACTAGTTCAGTGACACAACACGCTTCCCCCTGGAAACTGCACCAAAATGATTCGGGCAAGGAAAGTTTTTTTCTCATTTCGGTGGCCCAAAAAGTGGAATAATTTTGCAGACTGACGTGGTCAGGGCTGGGGAGTCGGGAAGCGTCAACCAGGCTGCTCTTTGGGTGCCCCCCTCCTTCACCCCCAAAGAGGACATGGACACACACACACACACACACACACACACACACACACTGGTGATATCGAGGCTGGGAATTTGGGACACGCCTCTCCACTCATTTCATTCTCCTAGGTGAATCCGAACCCGTGTCTTGTTGGGGTGGCAATCGTTTGTGTATGTTTTTCTCACATTCCAGCACTCGGTTTTCTGGGAGGAATTGTCCTGGTTTGCTTGCTTGTTTCGCAAAATAAAATAAAACAAAACAAAATCCTGGGGAGTGGCTTTTGCACCAGAATCTACTGTTTTTGCACAGCAGAACACCTGTATTTCGTTTTGCATTCTTCCAGATGTTTTTACCTGCCCAGATTGAAGCCTCAGCCCTATCTGCTGGGCGAGGCCATGCCGCAAATCTCCAGCTTCCTGTGTGGCAGAAAGCCCAGCCATGCCAAGGAAAGGCTGAGATTTTGCCCCAGGCGGCCAAAACAGGGAGGGACCCAGAACAGCCCCCTGGGCTTCCCCCAGATCACTGATGCCTGCAGAGACCCAACCGATGTTCTTTTTTTGAATGTGGCAACCTTACTTGCTCCCAACTCCACACTTTGCTCCTCACTTTCTTAAGCACATTGAAAGAGATCCACATGGCATGTGAACTTTTGAGATCTCCAGTATTTAGGTGAGTTCACCAGGTGCCCTGTTGCAAAAGTCCGGAGGGGGGGTGGGCAAGGGTGGAAGGAGAGCCAGGCGTGGACTTAAATGCCACGGCATCTGCATGTCCCCCTGAAATCTGATGGAAGAAGAAGGGGAAGCCTGGGCAGATGTTTAGGTGGGCTTCCTCAGGAGAAGGGCAGACCAGGGTTCAACCCAGAAGCGGGAAGGCGCCTTGATTTTCCAGCAGAGAAAAGACCAGTCTTCCCAGTTCAATGGAGAAATGGGTCTCTTTGCCAGCAGGAATGCGAGAAGCATCCACGGGGACCCCATCCAGCCAGGAAGGAAGAGAGATCATCAGGAGGGGGTCCAGCCATTAAGATAGGTGCGGCCCCATGATTCGGAAGCCAGCTCCTTTGCTGATATCTGAGTTGATCCACAATTTTGGCCCGAGGACCCCGATCCTCTGGGTAGCCCGTTTTTTGGACGGGAGCCCCCCGGAGCCCCCAAATCGATTGCATCCGAGCCAGAAAGACTCGGTCGACAGCCCCGGAGACATCGGGCGATGGGTTCAAGCAGGCCAAGAAGAGGCCGGCCGGCTGCACCGGCAGCCGTGGTGGCTCGGGGATGATGGCCATTGTAGTTCCCCAGGAAATCATAAACACTGCCAACTCCAGCTTCAGTGGGCCTGTGGGGAGGTGGAGTGGAGTTTCTGAGCTCTTCCCTCTGGCTTCTCCCCCCCACACACACACCCTTCTTTCTCGGTGTGTCTTGTGTGTCTGTGTTTACTTCATCCTCCTTTGTTTTTCTCCTTGAGTTTCCCAGTCGGCCTCCTCCAACTCTCCCGCCAGTCGGGTTTCTCAATCAGCGTGTGTGTGTCTCTGTGTGTGTGTGCGTGTGTCCGTGTGTGTGTCCGTGTGTGTGTGTGTCCGTGTGTGTGTGTGTGTGTGTGTGTGTGTGGAATTCTGGCGTGTGTTGTTGACTTAACTTTGGCCGCAGCCCTCGAACCAATTAGGTTGGAATGCTGGAACTGAAGCCGGATCAAGTCCCACTTGGGGTGGAGGGAGAAACTGATCTAGTCGGGGTGTGGGGTAGGGGGGACACGCCAGCCCAACCCTTCTTTCACAGACCGAGGGAATGGGCCGACTCTTCCTTTTATTCCTTTCCAGGCTTGCCTGCTTTGGCTTCAGCGGCCTTTTCAGGTGGTAACACTTAACCTCTGTCCCTTTTCCTCGCACACATGTTCGCTGGGCTCCGACGGAGAGGAGCAGCAGCAGCAGCAGCAGAAGCAGCTGGGGGACGGGGCCGCCCTCCCTGGTTTTCTGCGTGTGGGTATTATTCCCCCCCCCAATCCCCAGCAAAGAGAGAAAAGGGGGTAGGAAAAAAACCATAGAAATAAAAATAAAGGACCGCCACGGCCTGTCTGCTGAGCCTCTCCATCATCCAGTTCTTGGCCAAGGGACCTGGCAGGTTACGGAATGTTCAAAACAATCCACAAGCCCACTGATGAGGAGAAAGTGACCAGGAGCAGAATATCACTTGTCACTTTCCATCGGGGGGGGGACACCCTATGGCTGGGGGAGACATCCTGCAGGCGGTGCAGGATCTGGAGAGGAGAGGGGCAGAGCTGGGCTCCGACGGAGAGGAGCAGCAGCAACAGCAGCAGCTGGCCTCCCTGGTTTTCGGCATGTGGGTATTGTTCTGCCCCCGGGTCCCCAGCAAAGAGAGAGAAGGGGGTAGGAAAA